ATCGCCGCCGGGAGCGTGGGGGGAGCTGTTCAGCTCATGACAGAGGAGGAGAGCAGGAGAGGAGGACTGCAGGCACACAGGGAACTGCATGGCCTTGGGCAGGAGCCGTGGGTGCTTTGGGTGCAGGATGAGCAGCCAGCGTGGTACCAGTGCTCTGGGGAAGACATCGGGGTGTATGGAGCCTGAGGGCAGCCTGTGCCGTAGGAGAGGGGTGGGTGGATTAGAAAGATGCTCTCTTTTGGTCCTCAAAAGCTGGGAATCAGCCTTAAATTTAGAGCAGAAAGACACTGCCATCATGTGTGCTTTCAGGCCCTGGGTGCCATCAGCTGAGAAAGCTGCGACTTGCTGTGAAGCGTGAACAGCCCCAAATCATCATCTTGCTACGCACATCACAGCCATCTTGTGCCTTGTCCATAGATGTGTGCATTCCAGTTACTTTTCCCATAGAATGTTTTGGGTTGGAAGAGACCCTTTAAAGCTCATCCAGTTCCAACCACCCTGCCGTGAACAGAGACATCTTTTGATAGACCAGATTGCTCAAAACCCCATCCAACCTGATCTTGAACACTGACAGAGATGGGGCACCCACAGCCTCTTTGGGAAACCTGTGCCAGTCTCTCACCCCCTCCTTGCAGAGTATTTCTTCCTTTATTACGTCTTTCAGCTCTTGAGTTCCTGCAGTTGAGGCTCTGCATGGTGAGGCAGTAGGCTGGGGGAGTGGAGATGGCTCAGCAAGGCAGCAGTGGGCTTCCCGTGGCTGCTTCTCCTCTGCCTTTGGCTTTGGCAGCCTGGAGGGTTAGATCAAGAGGCAAGGGACAGTGCTGCAGAGAGGCTTGGTGTTCGGCTGGAAACAGCTAATGCCTCCAGTGGGTACCACTGAGGGGGCAGCTGTAGTTAAATGCAAGATGTCCATGAAGAACAGACCTTGGGGTGAGCTGGAAGGGCTTTGGATGGCCATAGTGATGAGTTCACAGGGGACTCCAGGAGATGGAGGTGGACGGAAGTGAAGGCAGAGATGCTGCCACGAGATGAGCATGTGAAGGGCAGGGAGAGTTGTAGCCGCCGGGGTTTGTGTTTATCTTTGCTGCAGTGATTATTTTCAGATAGTGGTGTGAGAGAGTAAAACGTCAGCCCCTGCTATTAATAACACTGCAAACAAGGCTCCTGCTGCTGCTGACAGGTGAGATGGAGTTAATTTGGTATGAGAGTGCACAAACAAGACAGGCCCTGAGTCAGTCCACTCGGTCAAGAAAAGATGGGGAAGAGACCCCCTCCAGCCCTGAGGAGGGGCAGTGTGGGGTAGTTTTCCCGGGATGCTTCCACCCCTCTCCATAGTAAGCAGTGCTGGGTATGGTGGGGAGCTGCTGGGACTGCTGAAACAAGTTGGTTAAAAGCAAGCTGAAGACCTTCAGGGTTCCTGCTCTGAAATGGGAAGGTTTTCGCAGAGGAAGGAGGGTCTTAGCCCAGAGCAGCACATGATAGGAGCCCAAAACAGTTTTCGATAGCAAATCCCCATCTGAATGGGATGCAGCTCCCCACAGGAGGGAAGTGACAATTCCATGGGTGAAAGCTCCTCCTGGGCTTATTTGTCACCTTGTGAAATTTGAGGTGTCTTTATTAGGCTGAAGGATGTGGCTGTTGGTGATGCTCAGATCACACACGAGGTGGGCAGCAGGGTGAAAGTCTTGGGGATTGATGGTGCTGGTGTAAACAAGAGCCAAGCACAGCTCACATTGTTTGAGCAGATGTGTCCTGTCTGCCGCTAATTATAAGCATTTGCGTGCACAACACACTGGGAGAAGTGCCAGATACAGTTTCTTTTCACATTGAACTCAAAATCATTATAATTAAGCCTTAAAGTTGTAAGTAAAAGCTAACAAGGAGTGTGGGTTTACTGTCATGCTGCTTGCAACCAGGCTGGTACCCACTGGGATGGATGGGTGTGAGGGCACAGGCTCTGTCCTGGAGGGTGGTTGGAGGGGTGAGAAGGACCTCGTGTGCTCTGCCGTGGTGGGTTTGGGTTCTACATAGGCAGAAGGCCCAAAAATACTAGAAACGTGCCATTTTGCAACTGTGGGAAGCGTTGCTGAGTGAGCGTTAGCGGCCTCTTGGGCTTGGTAGGCATAGAGGAGAGGTGCTTGCTAAGGAATAATCAGGAATAGAAACAGGAAGCATTCAGAGAAGCACTTCCATAACCTCAGGCTGAGAGGAGCCTGGGTTGGCATCTCTGGTTTGGGGAACACAAGACAGGCTTGCTGAGAAGCAGCTCCAGGAGTCACTGCCATGCACAGGGCTGGGTGACAGGGATGTGGTGGCAGTGACACCGGTTGATGGCTGTGTTGTGGCACTTCTGGGAGCTGCCTCTTGACTGACTGGGTGATGGACACAGCATTCTGTGTCCCAGGGGAGCATCCCACCTCTGATCCTCAAACATGGGGGTACATGTGAACCCCCTTTTGGACTACCCCACAGAAACTGAAATGGGTGGCCGTGCATGTAGGGGGGGGTGAGGATCATTGTGGCCCTTATTTTGTGGTGTGTTTGCCGTGCAGCCAGGTGGATGGGCTGGGGTTGTGTTGGGCAGATCCACCACATAGAATCATAGCATGGGTTGGGTTAGAAAGGGCCTTAAGATCATCCAGTTCCAACCCCTTGCCATGGGTGGGGATGCCTCGCACTAGGTAATATTGTCCAAGGCTCTGTCCAGCCTGGCCTTGAACACTGTCAGGGATGGAGCATTTAACACTTCTTTGGGCAGCCCATTCCAGTGCCTCACCACCCTCACAGTAAAGAACTTCTTCCTTATATCCTATCTAAACTTCCCCTGTTTAAGTTTTATCCCATCACCCCTTGTCCTATCCCTACAGTCCCTGATGCAGAGTCCCTCTCCAGCATCCTTGTAGCCCCCTTCAGACCCTGCCGTGCTGCTCTGAGGTCACCACACATTGAGCAGTTTAAAGCAGCTCTGGAGCAGCAAGAGGCGAGCTCTCAGCCCTGGGATTTGTATTCGCAGGGAAGGCGACTGCTGGGTTTCAGCTCTTTGAGGTCTTCGTCTGGGGCTGTGTGTGAATAAATGACGTCTTGAGATGCAGGTGACTGCAGGGAACAAGCTGCACTGTCACTGTGGCAGTGGAGGAGACAACTGCTCCTCATAAATGGGTCAAGATGGGTCCCGGGGTTTCAAAAATTAGCTGTTGACCTAGATAGCGCCAGCGGGATCACTTGCAGTGGGAACAGAAGCGAGCATCGCTGAAGCCGCGCATCGCTCTGAAGGTGGGGACGAGCCTGGTGTGCTGAGTTGAACCTGGGCTGGTTCCCTGCGCTTCCTTTGTGCCAGGCTTCTCCTTGGCAGCTGGGCTGGGCCATGGGGAAGGGTGGGAGACCTCGGCCATCTCTTTCTGATGGCTTCACTGAGCTGCAAGGGGTGTTTGTCCTGCAGGCAGCAGCCGGGGAGGCACCTGCTGCCACCCTGTGCTTTGCACTCCTCCAGTAACAAAGGACTCTGAGTTGCCTTATGCATGTCCCTGCCCCTCATTTTGCAGGGGGAGCGTGCTGTGCACCCCTTAGCACCCACATGGGCTGTTCAGTGCCAGTCCTTATGGACATGTACCATGCCATGCATGGGGAGGTTGGTAGGGTTGATGCTAAAGATAGAGCCCAAGTCAGGTTTTCTTCTCCTTAGCACTGGAAAGAAGTCCAATGCCTGTGGAAGGTGGTGATGTGCCAGGGTTTTCCCTGTGATGGGGTCCTCTTCCTCTGGATGAAGCCACGTTTCTTCTGAGCACTGAAAGTCAGCACTTTCCTTCCCAGTGACAGACCTGTCCATGCCCCTTGTTAGCTGCAGTAATTGAATAGTGGCTTTCTTGGGTGTTAATTAAGCAATATCCAGGCTAAGGTTGCAGTAGCCCTGTGCTGACGTTGGTCTTTTCAGTTCAATTGAAGACACTTTTCCTTCACCAGGACTTCCTGTAAAGATCTTTAGTTAAGACCTGAGTAATTCACTACTTGAATTTCATTTAAGTCCCGTTGCTGGTGGGGCCAAGTGCTACAGCAGTACTCCACAGTTACAGCAGTTTCCAGTGGCATTGGCTTTAACATTTGCCTAAAACGAGCAGTGGGATGGAATGGCATCAGTGCTTCTCTCCAACGAGGTCCAGTTTTATTTGAGCTTCATAACTGGGGCTGTGGTTGGAGCGCTTGGCACCCTGGGGTACTTGCCTTGACCCCAGCTGGATGCCCTTCAGGTTCCTGGGCTTTGATTAGGTTGGGTTTTGCCTTGGCTGCTTGAATGCATCATTTTCTCTACCAAGACTTCAGCCCCATGGCAGAGAGCCAGTGCTGACCACCCTGTACACAGAAAGTGCAGCCTCTTGGTTAAGCCACATTGTGTCTGCTGACCAGTGCTGGGGCACAGTTAAGGGCAGGCTGGTTTTGCTCGCTGGTTAAACCCTACATGGTTTTGGTCTGAGCTGCTTGAACACCATGTTTCCAACTCTTGAGATGCTCTTGCCTGGCGCTCTCCAGCAGAAGCGTAGCAGCTGCAAAGCAAGGGTGACCTGGCCATGAGCATCCCAATCTGTGGGGTGAAGAAGGGGTGGGTGAGCCTGATCTCGCACAGGAGATGCTCTTTCTGGATGTATATGTGGTGTTTTCCCTTGTTAGTGCTCTGCCCTTTCATCATCAGTTACCCATTATGTGCCACTGTAAGCTGAGGATCACTGCCCATCTGTACTTCATAAAGCTTGGTCCCTAGGAACCTTGTTTTGGTTTGTAGTGACTTTCCTGTGCATTTTCTTTGGGAAAACAGCATTCCCTTCACAGCATCAAGGGAAAAGAAAGTTGGGTTCTTTTACAGAGAGGTCATTAGTCCCCACATGTGGCAGAGGGGTGATTTCTGACCCCAAGCCCACCTCCCATCACTGTGATTGTCAATGGGTGCTTTACTTGCCTTCCCCATCCAGGGTAGCCAGTGGCTACATGTTCTGCTTTATCTTCCTTAGGCTCCTGCTTCTGGGTCGCCGTCCTGGACGGCAACGTGGTGGGGATCGTGGCAGCACGGGGCAACGAGGAGGACAACACAGTGGAGCTGCGCCGCATGTCCGTCGACTCCAACTACCGCGGCAAGGGGATCGCCAAGGCCCTGGGCCGCAAAGTGCTGGAGTTCGCCATGCTCAACAACTACTCCTCTGTCGTGCTGGGAACCACGGCTGTGAAGATGGCAGCCCACAGGCTCTACGAGTCCTTGGGGTTCAAGCACGTGGGTGTTGTTGAACATTACGCCCTGCCAGGGATGACGCGCTCCTTACTGGAGAGAATGTTCTTCCAGCTCCGCTACCACCGCTACCGCCTGCAGCTGCGGGAAGAATAGAAACCCACCCAACCAAACGAAACCAACAAAATACGCGTTTTCTTTTTCCTTCCTTCTCCCCCTTCAACAATAATAAACCACCTTCCTCCTCCTCCTCCTCCTCCTCGCCACCCGATTCTGCCGGTTGTTGGGTTGAGTCTTTGTTTTCCCTCATGTCATCTCTTGGTTTGCTCCGTGCAGCTCGATGGCCCGGCCGAGCAGCGCTCCTTCCTCGCATGCTGCAGGTGGTGGTGCTGGGAGTCCTGCGACGCGGCGGAGCGGAGCGGCGGCCTCTCCTCCCCAGGTACCTCCGGAAAGCACAGAAACTCAACTGCGAACCAGTTACCACTGCTCTGGTGTACATAGTCTCCTCCTCCCAATGTAAGATAACATAGCCACGCGTTCATGGTAGTGCAGAAAATATTACTTGAATGCAGTTTTCAGTATTTCGGGCACCAGTCGGTAGAATATGCATTTGTCTTACCATTAGTTACTGGTCAATAGATTTCAGAGACGAGGTTGGGGGGGGACAGACTTCCCCCCTCTACCCTAACCCGCTTGCTCCAATGCATGAAGAGGAAAGCGCGTGCACGCACTCACACATCGCACTGCCACCACGGCACTGGTGTTGCACTTTTATTGGGATGTGCCTCATTCTGCCAAATTCCCGAGAGACCCTGGGTGCATCCGGTAACCACGACTCCGCTCCATTCCCCCGCTCCCCTCCTCCTTCCTAAGCCAGCACGGACTGGGACCGGCTGAACTCTGAGCCCCATTGTACCATAGCGTGAAGTTAAGATCAAACCTAAGTATCTCCCGCGCTGTTCCGTAGCCACGCGTAACCTGCAGTCCTGGGCCAGGCTCCGCATGTGCGTTGGACTTTGCTGCCTTTTGGGGTTGTTTTTTGTTTGTTTCTGTTTCATTTTTAAAGGTTGTTGGGGTCTTTTTTCCCTTGTTTTCTTTTTTTTTAGTTGTTGTTATTATTTTTAGTTTTGGCTTTTGCTGAATGGTGTCATTGAGGTGTAATGGAGGCTGCAGTTCCTATGGCAACACATTTGCACATTAATGTGCGCACCAAATCTAACCACTTCAGAGAAGCAACGTGTGACAGATAATAGCATTTTGGGGGATGCTAGGGGGTTGGGGGGGAGCATACTTACTATCTTAACCAGCTGCTTGTTTGATAAATGTAGATGGCCTCACTGCAGCCTTCCATCAGAGGTAATTAACTGCTTTAATGATGTCAGATTTGTGAATTGTACAATGCAAAAAGCAATGCAAAGCAGATTCGGCATGTGTCTGTACCCGGTATGTATGTACAGTGCCTGCCAACTAAAGAATAACCAAGACTACAGCTTCTTCTAGCCTGAGATATCAACTTTTATAACTTATTTAAACAAATAGCAACTTTGCATGAATTACATCTTGGGGAAAAAGAAGGTCGGTAGGTTTTAACTTTTAAAGCGTGGTATCAGAAGTATGCAGAAAACCATTTCTGGCTGCACTTAATTTGGGGTGGGTGGAGGGGTTCAGCTCTGTTAATACATTTAAAGGGAAAATCCCTTTAATTTAATTCCTGGGGGAGAAGAAAGTTACTATTTTATGAAGTATTATGGGGGGGGGAGCTCCACCACCTCTCATGATAAACTTGACAAAAGGGTAGAGCATGTGTTAACCACGCTTGCACTTGCAAACACGATGGAAGCATCAGTGGGAGAGCGCCAGAGAAGGGAGGCGGTGTGGGGTGAGAGGAGAGGGGCTGTGGGGTGAATGGGGGGCAGACAGCATGGACCCACGTGTGGGATGCTGCCTGTGTCCCACTCCCAAGAGCCGTCCTTTCCTCTCCAACCAAAAGCTCTCCCAGCACTGAGATGTGGCCGGTGATGCTGAATGGGAGCAGCAGGGATGGGGTGAGCCCCATCCCTGCTGGGGCCATGGACCAGGCACTGATGCAGGGGCACAACCCCGGTAGCGCGCTCAGTGCTGGGTTCCAGCTGGGTCCAGCCTGTAGGGAGCCAGGGGGGCAGAGTCCCAGTGTGTGTCCCAGCAATAAAGGGGGAAATGAGGATGGTGAAGGGCACTGTAGCAAGAGACCATGAGTTTAATTAACAAAATTTCTGTATGGGGCACTATATTTTTAAGAGTCTTTCTATGCTGTACATTTCTCCTGAAGCTGAAATAATGTACTGTTGGTAGGGATTTTGTATAGTGTACAGAAATGGGCAGACTATTTTCTTGCTGCGTTCAGTGATTTATTACCCGAGGTTCAAATAGACAAATATAAAGTGTTAAAGTTGAAAGAAAAAAAAAAAAAGACAAAAAAAAAAACAAACCACAAAACAGTTTGTGCCTTTTTTTAGTTTATTTTTCTGTTGCTATAGAATCACTGCACTAAAACCTTTCCAGAGGGGAAAAAAAACAAAACCGTGTCTCTTAATAAGGGAGGAATACGTGAAGCTGAAATCGAGTGTTGGTTTTTTTATTGGGGTATTTAATTAAAAAGAATGTTGCTGGTTTTATTTGATACCTGTGCCTTTGTAATAACACTCCACATCCTGTCAGAAAAGCCAAACCTGGAATAAATCCCACCAGATCCCACAGATGCAGAACTACCATCAGGTTACCAGTATTTCCTTTTAATGCTTGTAAACCTTAACTGATATTGCAGTACCTGATCGTAATGCCCTGTTGAGTTGCCTGGGCAGGAGGTGCTTGGAAGGGGGCAGCCTTTGGGATGCTGTCTGCATTCCTTCCTCAGCCTGCGGGGTGCTGGAGATGCACCGATGAGGACTGAGTCATTGCCACTTGGCCGGTACCTTAAAGCTTCTGCTGGTTGCTTTATGACCAGGCTGCTTGGAGAACACCCGGCTGGTTGCTCCCAGCTCTCCAGCAGGGACAGCTCATTCCTGCAGGAAAGGGATTGCTGCCAAATTGGATGGCCTTTGCTCTCCTTGGAAGATGTTTCATCAGCCCAGGCAGGTGAAACACCATTGGGCAAGCCCTGGGTTTTGTTGGGAAGCCCATGCAGCTGCTGGAGGTGCAGCAGTGGAAGGGGGGTACAGGACCTTTGGTCGTGCTGCTGCTTTTCTATAGAATAGAATGCTCTGGATAGAATTAGACAAAGTTGGGCTTAAATGCATCAAGTGATACTGTTGTTTAATTTGAATTCATGGGAAGCTTCCCTAAATGTGATAGCTTGGGCTTCGCTCTGGAGAAAGGATGCCAATGCTCTACATGGCCCCTGGGCTCTGAACCATGCCGGGCTCACCTGCTGCCAGCCAGGGTCCAGCCTGCCTTTCCCTGCTGCCTGGACCATGGTGCAGGTCACAAGGTGATGGGTTGAGGTTGAACTGCCTTCGGCAGATCCATCTGCTCTGCCTCTTTTAGAATGTTCCATTGCCCTTCCTCCAGGCGCGAGCATCACCTCCTGGTTCTTCCCACCCCAGTTCAGCAAGTGGTTCGGTGCAGAACAGCACAAGATGGTTGTGGGTCCTGAGCTTGTGATCTGGGCCTACTGCCAGAAACCCTTTGAGATCCTATTGCCAGTTATTGAGTCTTAATTCCAACAGAGACTCACATCAGTGTGAGGTGGGACCTGTTTTGACTTTCTTCTTCCAAGGATACTTCTTGCTGGAGCACAGGGAAGAGCAGAGCATGTCTTGTGCTTTAAGCTCGGTATATGATGGGTAGAGAGACTGCTTCAGGCTTAGGCAGAGGATGTGTTGGAGATGTGAAGGAGCTTCCCCAGCTGTGCCTGGTGTCTGTTTTCACCTTGCTGTGCTTACGGGTTATCAGATCCTGAGCAAGCTGGCATCTCAAGCACATACAATATTCAGCAATAAGCTCTGTGGGAAGCTGGGCCCCTGAACGGATCCAGGCCAATGATGCTGAGCAATCAAACCAACAGAGAAAGTAATTTCCAATCTTACTTGAAAACCTCGAACTGGTGTTTGTTGTAAATTCAGACCGTGTTTTCCCTCCGTGAAGCAGACAGCACTTGCACGATGCTTAGAAATTGCGATTGTAAATCATCTCTGCTGGGAGATGCAGAAGAGTTTGGGGCACTGCCGTCAGCCAAAGCCGTTCTTTGCCCTCACCTTGCTGTTCCTGTGCTCTCTGTGGGACTATTTCTGAGCAAGCCTTTACCTGTCTGAGTGTGCTGCAGGCTGTACCCACACAGGACCGAGCATCAGGAGCTGGGCTGTCCCCTGCATGGTCCATCTGCTCCCATCTGCAGCACATAGAGCTCAAGGAGCAGCCAGGGAAGCTGAAGAGAGAGGCGCATGGCCATGGCTGTGGGGCTTTCCAAGCTGGCCATCGTGGAAGGAGATAGCTGGCAGCACAGTCAGCTGTGTTATAAAGAGGCTGCAAGGATGCTCGGTTCCCTCTGGGTCTAAGGTGGAGTGGTGAGGCAGGGTTGAGCTGGTTGGCAGTGTGCAGGGGGATGGTGTGGGGCACAGAACCAGGACCTGATGCTGCAGAGGCAGTTGGACCCCAAACCCAATGTTACAGCTCACAGGGCACAAGTCATTCTGCTACGTGCAAAATGCAGCTAAATTGTTACAATGCAAAGGGCCAGCTCTGCATCTTGACTCGTTTCAACATCACCCATCGATGAAAGCAGGAGTAAATGACACTGGGGATGTCTGTCCCCAGGGCTGGGACCTGAATTGTCATTTTCCCCTGCATTCGACCCATGGGAAATGAGGGTAATACCTGAGGTCATGAAGTCTGAATTCAGTAGTCCCTGTGTAGGAGCAGCAGGACTAAGGGTCAGCAAGCAGCTGTTGGGGTTTGGATGTGCCTGTTGGGGTCCCAGTGCTGCGGGAACAGAAAGTGCTGGGTGCCTGGTGGGGATCAGCCCCCTTTCTTGCTACAGCCAGCTGCACGAACAAAGTCCTGTGGTCGGAATTCCCAAGGGAGCCAGGGTTCTGCAGAGCCTCATCCTGCTCCTTGCTGCTGCCCCTTGCTCACTGAACAGCAGGTCTGCTGCCTTTTAATTTGCCAGATTTGCTGGCTGAGGTGCAAATGGATAGGGACTGACTGCAGGGATTTCCGAATTGCCAAACACACAAAGGCAGGAACGGGATCCGGTTACCTCTGAATTAACAATCTCATTTTCAGAGTGCTGGGAGCCTCTTTCGTTAGCACCGGTGTGGTGCTGTCGGTATGCACTCTAAAGCTCAATAAAGGCATTTTAATTCCGTGCTAACTGGAGTCTTGGGGTGGAATATACCACACCGCATAAAGAAAACTAAAACTAAGGGATGCAAACTGTTAAATAAGCTTTAAAATGCAAAAGGATTGTTTTATATTTTCTTTTGCTCCCTCAGAATAGATCCACACAGCAAACACACAAATAAAAGAGGTGTGCTCTTACATCCCTCTCTGATAGAGGCTATGCACAGAGATTATGCTTATCTCCCACCGAAACTCTGCTGCCTGAGTGGTCCTTTGGACCACCTTTCCTTGGAAATCAAGGAAGGGAATAATTTGAACAACGGAGTTTAATTACAGCACAGTGACATTTAGAACAGTGAGATCTAAGTCAGCGTTTGGGGGTTGATCACTGTTTAAATAACTCTTCAGTGCTGTCTTTGTATCACACGATGGTCAGCTGCGGGAGAGAATATACCTTTAACATCTAAATAGTAGCAGGTGGACTTATTGAGACCAAGAGCATACAAATACCTAATGCAACTGTAAACTTATATACGAGTAACATGTTTGACTGCAGAAGCAGCTACTGCTATGTAAGCATAATGAGCATATAGCTAACGTTGTTTTCCATTTCTTTTCCTCCAGAGCTTAGTCCTTCTGACCTGTAATCTGTATATTTGCTTTTATAAACATGTAATTAGGTTTCACAGGGCACCCGTTGCTTTGTGAATTGTACTTATGATTGTGCTGGGCTCTTAGCTTTAAGCAATTCGTGTGCTTGTGTTATTTGATTTAAAGCAAAAGTCTTCTTGAGACAAATGCGGTAAAGGAAAAAGGAAGCTGGTTTTGGTGGTGGTCAGGAGATGTGTGGTGTGAATTTGGGACATGTCCAATGTCAGTTGAAATAAAACCCAAACTGGAGCTAAATTGCATACGAGAACTGCTCATGTTCAAGGCAGTGGCTGTTTAGATCATGGGTTACAGGCTAAACTCATGCCTGAATAGGAACTCGGATTTCCCCCGAGCAGCCTCTTACTCTGCATCTCCTCACTGTTGTACAAGACCGATGTGAAATTAGTCTTGTGTTTTCTATGTTCGGCATAGTATGTACTGTACTTTGTAACGGGAAGTGGCTACAAGTCCTCAAAGATAAACTAACATATTTAAAACAGCAATAATTACCACTGTAAAGCAAACGAGCACGTGGGGAAGAGCACAGGGAGACAGCCTATGAAGGTGATACCGTTAGGAACACACTGGCATCAGTGCTGCTACTGCACCTGGGGAGCAGGGTTAAGTACTAGGAAAGGCCATCAGTCTTTGACTTCACCTTGGTAGAGAGCGTGCCCATGTAGGATCCCTCCGCCTGCATCATTCCACGGTGGTGTAAGTCCTTACCCAGTGCAGGTTTTTCACCACAGCTCTGAAGGGTGAGTGATTGCCATGGCGCTCCTGGTGGGAGAGGCAGACACAGGGAAGAGCTGTCAGAGGCGCACAGAGGAAGGCGGATGCTCACTGCCGCAGTCTCGTGCCCCGTGTGCTGTGCTGCTGCACTGGTGGGGCTCCACGATAGCAGAAAGTAGAATAAATGAGTCCACTTTGCTTAGCGAGAGAAGCAGAGTCAGCTCTGGTGCAAAGCTGTTTGCATACCTATTGATACAGCCCAGTTCCTGTAGCGAGTTAGCCCTCGGTGTGCTTTAGGCACTTGAGTTCCAGCCTACAAAGGGTTATCCCGGTGCAGCGTGGTCGGTCTCTCCATCTTCCATTGGCAGAGCCCCGGGAGCCAGCCAGCTCCTGAGGGACAGAGGGTGTCCTTGGGCAGGGCAGGTGAGGTGCTCCGGATGGATGACTTGTAGGTACTTAAGTTCTGTTCCTGATGGCCGCTGTAACTGTGAAAATTAACCAGACCTGCTGTGATAAATTTGGTTATATAAGGTTTATTTGGTTAATTTTTTATAAGTGAAAACTGAAAAGATGAAAGAGAATTGTAATATGAGAGCAACTGCTGTAAATAATGTATGAATGAATAAAATCTAAAACTTATGTCAGTTCTTTCCTAAACTGTATTGCTGTCAAGTTACTGGCACCGCGGTGCAGGCGCTGTCTGCATCTTTTCCAGCTCCAGCTTGGGCAAGCACCACTCATTTCTATATCCGTTGATAAATGGGGATG